TAATCTTCAGGGAGGACCGACCTTCACCCAGCAAGGCACCTTCACTCATTTTTGTTGCTTCTCCCCACCCGTAATTATTAGAGTTGGTATTTCTGCAGGAGAAGGTTCCCTGAGGTCCATAAACTGTGCACACCCTGGCTAGTGCTGTGGGCTCCCCCAGGGCAGAGTCGTGTCCTCCTCCTCTCTCCCCGGTATCCGTTATAAGTTCTGGCACAGAGAGGCAATGACCAACAGAATGAACCCCGCTTCTGCATCTTGTGCTTGTTACAATTTTTCAGAGATGCATTTTTTTTTTTCCTTATATGAGTTTACTGGTCAATTGAGGCTGTCACTCAAGGTGTGCCTTCCAATAAGGGAAACACGCTATAAAACACCAGCAGTTTTCCCTGCAAGCACCAAGAGGTCCAAAGGGAAGATCATTAGAATTCGTGACACTGAGTCAACCATATCCAAATAATATTAAACCCAGAAGGGGCCGCCAATAATAAAGCTTTCTTGTGCGAGTTGGCAGCTGGGCCTTCTCCTCTGCTCTTGTCTGGGTTTGCACACGATTAACTTCAGGCTCCAGGGATTTGCATTAGCAGATCATAAGTAAAAATCCCATTAAAATGACATTCTCAACATTATGATCCCTTTAGTGAGGTGCATTGGATTGTCAGGGGCATTTTCCGGAGCTGCTTGGTAATGGATTTACCTTCCACCCTGGCAAAGACCACCTGAGGTATGGGGCTCAGGGGCTAGTCTGCGGGAAGCACACAGCTTCTTTGTGGCCACTGCCTCCCTACCTGGGCAACTCCCGAAGAGCTGTGTGGAAACCACCCTGCATATCATGCCTTGGTTTCAGCGCCCACAGGCAGCATCTGTCAAGTACTTAATCTCCCAGCCTGGCTGTGGAGAGAGGAGGGGAAACACTGGTTCTAATGCAGCCCCTGCCACTGGCCCCACTGACTGACCTGGCTTGAGCTGTATTTGCTGAAATTTGGTAAATGTTATGAATTTCATACTAGCATTCTTCACATTTGCCCATTTCTAACATTCTCAGTCTTCTTTGAATTAAAAGAAAAATGCTTCAATTATGGCCCAGTCTTTTGGGGATAAAGTACCAACTCAATAATATGATATGAAAAGCCTCTTGGGATTTAATTCCACCTGCTCCTCCAAACTTGGGTCCTAACACCTGCCAAAGTTTTACCCTTCTGCCCCATCCCTGAGCCCTGCCATGCCAGAAGCTTACAGCTTCCTGAAGATGGGCCTCCTGCTCTGCTCTCTGCCAGCTTGGCAGCCTGGCTCCACTGAGCCTCCCACACCCTCTTCAGATGCTATCCATTCTGAGGGCCTGGGATAAGGGGCTGTTTCACACCCTTATTACCAGGCCCTCCTTGTCAAGTGCTGAGAATGGGCTCCCACAGACTCCCCCCACCTAGCCCCCTGCCTTCTGCCCCAGCACACACTGCATAGGATTATAAACTGTTTATGTGTTTGTTTGCTCCACTGTCATGGACACTTCTGGAGAGCAGTTTCTAATTTAGCTTCTGATCTCTGGTAACCAGCACAGAGCCTGGCACCCAGTTTATGCTCAGAATAAACTGCTGAATAAAGAAATGTAGAGGCCCATCAGGCATTACAACATTTATTATGCTTCTGGAATCTCCAAGGTAGGTCAGATATTCGAATACATATGTACATTAGACTGGCTCTAGTCCTTTCTGGTTAAGGCCAGAAAGTTCTGTACTGGTGCTAAATTCAGTAAGACCTCTCAAATAAAATAACAAGATCAAAGTTGAACAGTGTCTGAGATCCAGAGAGTTAAAAATGTCAAACCTTTAGAATTTTAAAATGCTCCATAAAAAGGATCAAAAGATCAATTAATCACCAGTAAGTTTTAAAAGATCTCTGGATTTTTCCTTCTCTCCTTCCCTCTCCGCCTCCCTCACTTCACCTGCCCCTTCTTTGGATCCTGACATCCATTCACTGTTAGGCAAACATTTACTGGGCACCAACCATGTGCTCAGGGCTATAACATTCACTGAGGAACAAGAGAGAGCAAGACACAGTCCTGCCCTCCAGGAGCTCTGAGCAAAGTGAGCAGAAAGGCATGATAAATGGGTAACTAGGGTACAGCAAGTATCGGAATAGCATTCTGCATGGAGTCTGGGGAGCACAGGGAAGAGGCAAACCACTCAGGAGGGTGACCCAGGATGGCTTCCTGGGAGAGAAGAGTTTATCAGGTATGCACATTTTGGGCTTTAAGTGATTTACATCTAAGAAACTCCTGGTAAGATTCTGTCTACACAGGGAATTGAATAAGGGGAGAGGAATCTTCGGGCCGGTCTATAGATACCACTGGATGGCTAGCATGAGTACAGTTGAGGTTTCCTATGTCCTACCCACTGGGACTCCTTTCAAAGGGAGGGCAATTGTCCGGGTGAGCTGAGGCTTCTGATCATCACTAGGCAGCCTTTACATTTTTAAATGTTAATTTCTTTGGTGGAAGAATTTATGGACTGAATTATATACTCCCCCAAATTCATATGTTAAAGCCCTAACCTCCAACATGACTGTGTTTGGAGTTAGGGCCTTAAGGCAGTCGTGAGGGTTACATGAAGTCATTAGGGTGGGGCCTTAATCCAATAAGGCTGGTGGGTTATAAGAAGAGGAAAAGGTATCCGAGCTCTCTCTCTCTCCATCATGTACGAACACAGCAACAAGGCAGCTGTCTACAAACCAAGAAGAGGGCCCTCACTGGGGAATGGAATTGCCTGGCACCTTGATCATGGATTCCAGAACCGTGATAAATAAACGTCTATTGTTCAGGCCACCCAGTCTGTAGTATTTTGTTATGGTAAGCCCTTGCTGACTAAGACCAGGAAGATGAAGCTTGAACAAACTGAAGATTCGACAGTTTCATACAATTTTATCAAGACTATAAACATTTTACATTTCAGTGATAATTCTGATCTCTAAATTAAAATATTTTAAATTTAACAATGAAAACATGTAAAATTTTAAATCAGCAAGCTCACCAAAGGAGCAGCATAGCATAAAGGAAAAGGCAGGTGCTCGCCATGGTTTGCTGTGTGACCTTGGGCAAGTTCCTGAACCTTTGTCTCCTGACTCATCATCCTCTGGGCAGGGCTGTGGCAGGCATGAGAATGAGTCCCCCCCACACAGCATGTCTGGCAGTGGTTTGGGAGGTGTTCAGTGAATCTCAGCCCTCCTTAAATTCACCACTTTAGGAACAGATTTCAGAATTCCTAGATTCACCATATCTTTAGCTGCAGAGCGCGAATTCCTTTCTTACCTATTTTTAATCCCAAACCCTGTGACATTATTTATCTATATCAGTGCTTCTCAGCCCCACCTTAGAAAATGCTACAGGGAATCTGTAATTATCTCAGGCAATGCAGCGATGTCGTTATTAAAATCCTTCGCAACGTCAAATTTAATTTACCTCTATTCATATTATGTATTTAAAAACACCTCATATAAGCCATATGGCAATTTAGAAGGTAAGCGAGAGGTTGTGGGGAAATCCAATAAACGATGTCAAGATTTCATAATTTCTGTAAGACTCGGAATTCCTAATTCAGAGGAACATATACTAACACAGATGCCGTATTTCCAAAATCTCAGGATCCAGCAGGATGCGATTTATTGGGAATGGGTTAGGCAGTTGTCACTGGGCTCCCTCAAACATCCTTCCCATTATCTTGGCAACCCTGACCTTGTCCCATGGTTTGCTTTTCCACCATTGAGAGATTGCCTGAGGTTAATGAAACTGTCTTTTAAAGAGCATATGTCAGTACTTCTAGGTGGATGAAAGGGAGCAGCAATCATTCTCATCTAAATGTAAATGGGTCCCTCCTGGAATTCTTCCCAGTAACAACTCTCTGAGATTGGCCCCACTGGGAACCTGAGGGTTTAAGTCTTACGGAAGAGGGTGGGGAAGATGTAAGTAAGAGGCGGAGAGAAGGCAAAGGGTTATGGAAAGTTCAGTCCAAGACAAGGTGAGGCAGGATGCACACGCAGTGGGTTTTGGAGGGAGAAGAGAAGCCTGAGGTCCCCGGAAGCACTCAGGATGTGGGTGGGGAAAGCCAGCAAGCAAGATGAGTTGCTGGGGCCCCAGGCAGTAAGGCCAAAGAACGAGCATCATTTTATCTGCTTCATTAAGCAGACCCGATCCCCTTCTCTGCCTGCTGGCACTCTCCCTCTTGTTAATTTAAAACCATTTTAAAAAATTCACAATCCCCTCTTCAAATCTAGCCGAAGGCCGTCTTTAGGCTTTCTGCATAGACTACTTTTTCAGTGGCACAGTCACCCAGAGAAGCGAGTGCCACCTCCACAATCTGTGCTGCAAAGCCCTTGGAAACAGACACTTCAAAGGTTTTGATTCAAACGAGACACTTCATTTGTCATTGACAAGTATGACACAGTGGTCCTTGTGATCACAAGTCATGAGGCTCTGGAGTGAGTCATAGATTTTTCCACTTCAGAAAAGAACATGTACTATTCACAGTGCACCGTGTCACTGTTTACTTCAAAGTTTTCTAGTCTCTGTTCTCAACCTGTGTCACCAAAAGCAAGGCTGTACCATCATCCAAAGGAGATAGCAGAGGATCAGAGAGGAGATACAGAGCATTTATGAGATAAAGATGTGCTAATAAAGATCATAAACTGAGCCTGAGGATCAAGAGAACCAGCTTCCCATGAACTCAACACAGAGCAAATGGACTAGATGCATATTAGCAGATCCACCAAC